AGNGAGAGAGAGAGAGAGTTATTCGTGAGAATTATTGTTTGTCCATAGTTTATTCGAACAGCTTCGAGTAAAAGTATAATGTCGATTCGTAAGAGATTCATAGTGGTGAACAATTGGTCCCAAGGAACCAGTACAGGCAGAGAAATCGCCCTCCTAGGAGGCGATCCTTTAAACGTAGAATGCATCGTGAAAGGAGGACAAACCTGGCATTGGATCGATCCTATAAAAGTCGATCGACGGAAGAGGAAGAATGTTTGAAAATTGAAATCTAATAATTTAATCCCCTTTTTTTTTCTCTTCTTCTTTATTCTTTCCCATTCTTTCGAGGAACCGGAACGTAAAATCTCGTATGGTAGAAATAAGAAGAGGGGGGGGAGGGGGAAATGTAATTTTAAACAGGAAATTTGAGATTCGTTTCACTTTATAAATATTTTACCTTGGATGTTTGTACTTAACTTTTCCACGTTTTATATTTACATTTCATACACTGAAATTTCCTATAAATGTATAAATATCGATAATCTATTTACAAGAAGTGACGTAGAAAATAAATTTCGAATCGGTATTCATCGTACCGAGTTATCCCAGAGATTCGTAATCGAATTCAGAAGAAAAAGGAAAAGAAAAATTGAAATCACCAATTATCCATTCCCAAACATTTTTCTTCGTACAGTTCTTTCAATTTGAACGAACAATTTGTTTAAATTCGTGTCCCTCGTTTTCGCAAGTTTCAATATAAGTCTTGTTTCAACTTGACCAAGCACGCAACATCGTCAACAGAGGATCAGAAACGTTACGAGGTTTCCAAACAATCCAATATTACTTTGTACCTGCTTATTGCCGGTGTACTTAGCTTTATCATTGTACACCTCCATTGTCCCTCCCCCCCCCCTCCATCACCCCCGCAAGCAATCCATTCGCCCCGGTAATTAGTTCTTAGCTCTTCCATTGGAATGGAAAACTGTAATCAATCGTGCTTTTGTTTCTTGCGAGCAAAAGGAAATTCCGGTTACAAAGGGTTAACAATACGGCCAATTGTGGACATATTGTACATTTCAAAAGTATGATTCACTACTAGCTTTCCCAAAGGAACGCATAAAGGCGCAAACAAACAACTCGTTCTAACGAGCGAATGTAACAACACCGGCCAAAGGACAATCTGTTCTCCTCAATCTGCAACAAGAATTCCAATTAAACTACTCCCTAATATATCTACAAGGACAGTTCATTATTAGAAACTTGGCATCGTTTTGTTATTAATTTTCCATCGTTTTGTTATTCATTCATAATTTTATTTCTCTATAATATTCCTAATACTCGTGACAGCGGAAGTTGGACGTATCTCCTTTTCCCCGATCGCAACCACCGTGATAACGCGCAGTCTAGACGTATTCAATAACATTCACGAAGCATCATACGTAGGGAATTACCAATGTGTATTCACCGTTTCCTCGAACCCCTGCGAGGAGAACCTGGCCTGTCCACACCGGGCCGGCGTTCTCGAGACGGCGGCTGCTTTCAAGGCCGATTTCATGCGACGACGATTTAAGATCCCCATCCCTGGTTCCTGGCCGATCTTGCGCTCCTCCTTTCGCGCACAAACCCATCGAGATTACCGCGAACAGAAAAGAGGCTCGACCGAAGCTCGACTCAGGACACGACTACGGTTTTTCTCTCTCGATGACCGAGCATCGATCCCTTCCCATCTCACCCTCTCCTCTTATTCCTCTCTGCAGCCTTTCCCCGTCCGATAGCTCGGTTATCAATGCTAAGTTCCCCGCGCACGATGATACTTGCCTCGTCAGAAAGGGTTTAAGAGAGGACGGATCTTGCGTGAAATCTCTCTTACTTCAAATTTCCATCGAATACGTGCTTGTCGTTCTTCAGAATTCGGTAGAATTGTTGGTAAATGATCGCTCGGATAATTCAATTGCTTCGATTCAAATCTTTATTATCTTCTTCTAAATTTTCATCGAATCAGGAATATCCATAGTTGTCGTTCATTGAAATTTATCATTGAAACTATTATCATTCAGAATTTCAATGGAATTGTTGCTAAAT